TCGAAACCCGTCCATAGGAGAAGGGGAATGCACCTTAAGTTGGCAGACTACCAATTAACCCAAAGGGTCAAGTGCTCTTTCCATTCCTTTTAAACCACACACACATATATATATATTTATTTATATTTATAAAAAAATAAACATACTATTAAGCAAGAGATTTAAGGTTCCTCTTTTTATACAGCATGTCGCATGTCAGCATGTACAAAAAAAATTTACGCTTTTAAATGCCGGCCCAAGATTTTACCATAAAAAACGAAAGTTCTATTTTTAGATTGGAATAATTTTTTTATTTTTCTTTTTAAATCTAATATTTTTTAATTTTATTTTTAGGCCTCTATAATTTTTAAATACCAAGCCGGCTTGGCATGTTTCCCGTATAAGTTGAGATGGCCAAGTTAATCTAAAGCACAAGATTAAAATTCTTTTGAACATAAAAAAAAAAAAAAATGTACACTGAAAAACAATAAAAATTTGGTTGAGTTAGTATTAATTAATTTAAAATTTTTAATTTAAAGTAAATATAAAAAATATAACTTTAAGTTCTTAAAATACCAAATAATTAATAGTTGATGTAAAAAAAGTCATTATAAAGTACTTTTTTTATACAAAATTTCTTATCCTAAAATGCATGGTTAGTGCTGTGAAAGGTCAAACTACTCTCAATCTAGGCCAAATTAAGCTCGATTTACAATTAAAATATTCTAAATCAATTTTCATGGACTTCAAAATTCAATTTTCTCATGCATCTGCAATTTTGATTGTCTGGTTCAGATGCATTGAACTCTTAGTATTGATCAAAATTTTATTTGTTGTAATAACAGTTAGATTATACTTATTCCCTCACATTCTCCCATATTCAAGAAAATAACAATAATAATAATAATAATTTTTCTCAATCTCATAGCAATATTAAGGGTGAGTAGAGTCCTAGTATAGTTTATCTCTGAATAAATTAAGTTATGAACATAATTTTTTAGGCAGTCAATTACCAGTTTAATTAATAAGTGCGAATGACACATGATTACATCAGAACCAAGTCAAAGCCAGCGAATCAAACTATACTGGTTACATTATTGTATTAAAAAATCAGAATTCTTTAGTGGAGAAGATAAACAATAAGACCGTTTGGTGGAGTGGAGATTAAAAAGTAATTGCATTGAAAGTATTATTTTTTTATAAATTTAAAATTTTATTAAAAAATGTTTAAAATTAAATTTTAAGTAGATTTTTAGTCAATTTAAAAAATATTATATATTTAAATTTTTTAAGATTTACTTAAAATTTATTTTAAAAAATCATTTTTAAACTTTTTTA